ATTATTCAGCATGTATAATTTTAGCCTGTTGATTTATATGTTGTGATTAGAGGCAATATGGTAAAGGGGTAAATTAACTGAACTGGGAATAAAAGTTCTGCATTTTAATTCAGATCACCTGTATGTGATTACCTGAGTCTCAGTTTCTCCAAAATTCTTTAGAGCTCTAGAATCTTAAATATGATTTTTCAATTCCATAAAACATTTTTCAAAATAAAAATTTATTTTTCAAGGTTTTTATAGTTTTTTAAGCAAATTTATTAATGCACAAGTAACATATAATTTACGTGCACAATTCTGTCAATTTTGATAAATATATGTGCCTTCATAAACACCCAAATCAAGATAAAGAACATCCCCATAAACCTTAGAAGTGCTCTCATGCCCTCTTGAAGTCAACCCCACCTCCCCCATTCCACCTGCCATCCCAGGCAACAACCAATCTGCTTTCCTGCCATTAGAGATTAGGATGATCTTTTCTAGAATTTCAGATAAATTAAATCACACATCATGTACTCTTTTGTACGTAGCTTCTATTTCTCAGCATAATGTTTTTGTGATTCATTCATTCTATTGGAGAGATCAGTAATGTGTTTGTTTTCCTTGTACAAACATATCAAGTTATATTTGTTTACCCCAAGAATACAATAGTTTCCCCTATTTTTTAAGAAATGTTTTTGAATTTAATTATTTACCATGAATGCATTGTAGTTTTATTTATAGTATGTAAACATTATTTCCAAGGATCCCTGTTGGTTACTAAATTATCTCTTAAGATACAAGTGGAATCTACAGACCTAATTCTGTGAAGATATCATTCCATATCTGAACATAGAACTGCTGTATTGTGGGTTCCAAACTCTATTTAATAAAAGGGGTAAGTGATGTTACGAATATGTGGGAATGTTGGAGTGTGTACTGCATTTCATTAATCACATCTCCCTTTAGAGTCTCTATTCCCCTTTCTGCTGGAAATGTTGCTGGTTGAAGGATCAGAGCTGAACATTTCTCTCAGAATTGCTCTTCAAGGAAGGGAATTGTGAACTTCTACAGTACACAGCTATCTGTACATTGAACTCAGAAAGGCCAGTTTATAATCATTAGGCAGCACTCAAGATCTGGATTAGGAAAGACTGGTGAAATCAATTGCCAGTCAGTTATTTCCAAATTTGAGATAACTGAGGTATGATAACTGATTTTAGAGGGGTTTTGCCATAATTTTAAATATCTTCAAATCCTGTATACAGTCTACAGGTAACTAGACAAGTGTAAGATTTATTAGAACTTCTGCCTTATCACATTGAGAAATTCCTCCAGTCAACTTTAAAAAGGCAATTGTCTCTATCTTTCTCTGCTCTTTTAATTTTGATTCGCTTAGCTATTTCTCCACACTCTCACATTGTATTAGGTTATTGGACTTACACTACTTCTTTCCATTTGCCTGCATTTCCTTTCTCTGTGTTTTATCTTTCTCACTGCTTTTATGATGCTTTCTGTTCTTCCCATTCTTCTATAGTCCGTTCTGCTCTATGTGTCATTTGCATTCCTAAATATCATGAGCCATGCAATATTGTGCAATAAAAAACACAGGGCTTAAGGGGGTAATGAAGTTTATGGCACAACCCTAAAAACTTTATCAGTGTCACATTAAAATAAAGGTAAAAAAGCTAATAAAAATGGTAGCACAGTTTTACACCTGTTAAATAGTTAGAAATTGCACAAATACAGTGATAAGCATTTTTTTTCTTTCCCTGAGAAAAAGCTGAAGTTTGCTTGTGGAGTTAGAAGACTTAAAGGCTTTCATTTCTTGTGAAGTTGTAGAAGGAAGGGTATCCGAAATCAGACAGAAAGTTGTAACACAGGTGTTGATGGGCAAATTTCTAACATGCATGGGACACTGAGGTCAGTTTTAGATATTTGAGGAATGGGCATGTGTGCGTTTTATGTGTTCCTACGTGGCTTGTTTCAGCCAGGTGTGGTTTCCTCTGTTTAGCCAGTGCTTCTCAGGAACAAAATTGCATGTTAAAAAACACAAAAAAATTACATTACATTGAAATTGTTTTCTAATATATCAATCATGTTGAAAGAAATTCATGTTTTTAAACAAGTGCTTAAAAAGTGAGCAGAAATAAGCGTACTTTCTGTTTTCTCTCTATACTTTGTTTCTACTTTTTTTTTTCTCTTAGTTATTTCTCCTAAATTGCTGCACTGTCCTCACTCAAAACTTCTCCAATGTAGCTAGGCTGAGGAGCATACTTTTATTTATTATTATTATTTTATTTTTATATTTTTATTTATTTATTTATTTATTTATTTATTTTTTGGTCAGAGTCTCACTCTTTCACTCAGGCTGGAGCATGCTAATGCAATCATGGCTCACTACAACTTGGACCTTGCTCAAGCAATCTGCCCACCTCTGTCTCTCTAGTTGCTGGGATTATGGGTGCATGCCACAACACCTGAGTAATTTTTCTATTGTTTAGAGATGGAGTCTCCCCATGTTGCCCAGGCAGGTCTCAAACTCCAGACATCAAGTGATCCTCCTGCCCCGGCCTCCCAAACTACTGGGATTACAAGAGGGAGCCACCGCATACAGCCCATACTTTCTTTTCTTTTCTTATTTATGTATATATGTATGTATGTATTTATTTAAAGGCTGTAAGGCTCTGTTGCCCATGCTGGAGTGGTGTGGCATGATCATGGTTCACTACAGCCTCAAACTCCTGGGCTCAAGCCATCCTTTTGCCTCAGCCTCTTGAGCAGCTAGAACAACAGGTGCATGCCACCACACCCTCATTTTTTTTTTTTAAATTTTTTTCTAGAGATGAGGTGTTGCTATGCCACCCAGGCTGGTCTCAAATTCATCACCTCAAGCAGTCTCCTGCCTCAACCTCCCAAAGCACTGAGATTACAAGAGTAAGCCACAACACCCGGCCTCTTAATTTTTAATCGACAAATAATAAATGTACATATTCGTGAGATACAATGTAAAGTTTTGATATATGTATACAATGTGGAATGATTCAATCAATTTAATTGACATATCCGTCGCTCGCTTACTTACCATTTTTGTGGTGAGAGCACTTAAAATCTACTCTTCTAGCAATGTATTATTTATTATTAACTATAGTCATCATGCTGTGTCATAGAACATTATTCTTATTGTACAATTGAATCATTTTACTCTTTGGCTAACATCTCGCATTAACTCATCATAGCCATCCTCTTTTTCCAGGCTCTGGCAACCACCATTCTACTAACAACTTCTATGCGTTTGACTTTTTTAGATTCTACAGATAAGCGAGGTGAAGAAGAATTTGTCTTTCTGTGCCCGGCTGATTTCACTTAGAATAATGTCCTCCAGGTTCATCCATGTTGTCACAAATGACAGAATTTCCTTCTTTGTAGAATCTGAATAGTATTTCGTTGTGTATGCATACCACACTCACTTTTATCCATTCATTCAGTGATAGACACCTAGGTTGATACCATTTATTGGCTATTGTAAATAATTCTGCATTGAACATGGGAGTGCAGATATCTCTCCCACACACTGATTTCAATTCCTTTAGTTATATACCCAGAAGTGAGATTTCTGGATTCTATGATAATTTTGATTTTTTGAGGAACTCTCATACTTTTTCCATAGTGGCTATACTAATTTACATTTTTACTAGTAGTGTACAAGGGTTCCATTTTCCCACATTCTTATTCTCTCACCAACACTTACTAGCTTTTTGCTAATAGCCATTCTAACAGGTATGAAGTGATATCTCATTGTGGTTTTAATTTGCATTTCCCTGATGCATTGTTGGTATTGAGCATTTTTTCATATATCTGCTGGTCATTTGTATGTCTTCTTTTGAGAAATGTTTATTCAGGTCTCTTCCCTGTTTCTTAATCTGAGGATTTCTTTTCTTTCTATTGAGGTGTTTGAGTTGTTTATATATTTTGGACTTTAGCTGTAGGGCATACTTCTGAAGATTTACTTTTAGAAAACCCTGGTTTCTATGCAGTCCTTTCGGAAAGAAGAAAAATTATCTCTCAAAATATTTAACCCCTTTTAGCATCCTTCCTGTGGGTTGTGTGCACACATGATTTTATGTTAATAGTAATATAGAAATCAAAACTTTTCTATGCTATATGTTTGTTCCAGCTAGGTCAGATTCACAGCAGGAATAATCTTTAATAAAAAATATTTGGTAAGTTCTTTTCCTGGGCATCATTGAAAATAAAACTTAAAAATTTACAAAGGATCTTGAACAAAGATTTTTAAATTGCACACTTTATAGGTCCTTACCTATTAATTAAAAATAATGTGTGGTGTTATATCAATATAGTATTGTAAATTAATAATAAACTATATATCTAATTGATCAAATAGTAGCTAGTACTTAATGTTTAGGGTACCTTAGTGTTTTATGCTATGTTTTACATTTAGAGAGAACATAGCATAGTTTCCATTTCAAATACATCTATTAAACTGATTGAAAATTACTGATCTACCTTCATTTTTTTTTTTTTTTTTTTGAGACGGAGTCTCGCGCTGTCGCCCAGGCTGGAGTGCAGTGGCCGGATCTCAGCTCACTGCAAGCTCCGCCTCCCGGGTTCACGCCATTCTCCTGCCTCAGCCTCCCGAGTAGCTGGGACTACAGGCGCCCGCCACCTCGCCCGGCTAGTTTTTTGTATTTTTTAGTAGAGACGGGGTTTCACCATGTTAGCCAGGATGGTCTCGATCTCCTGACCTCGTGATCCACCCGTCTCGGCCTCCCAAAGTGCTGGGATTACAGGCTTGAGCCACCGCGCCCGGCCCTACCTTCATATTTTAATGTCAATTAACAGTTTCCTCAGAAACTTAGTTTTTTGGCAAAGCTAGTTCTTTTCAGAATTTCTTATTTCTCAGTGTGAAAGCAGTGTCAGTTTAATTTCTTTAAGTTTATTTTAAATTTTAAATGAAAGATGAAAATTCTTAAGTGCCATTTCTTTTTCTATTCCTGCAGCGTTTGTCCAATGGTTCTATAGACTCAACCGATGAAACTAGTCAAATAGTTGAACTACAAGAATTGCTTGAAAAGCAAAACTATGAAATGGCCCAGATGAAAGAACGTTTAGCAGCCCTTTCTTCCCGAGTGGGAGAGGTGGAACAGGAAGCAGAGACGGCAAGAAAGGATCTCATTAAAACAGAAGAAATGAACACCAAGTATCAAAGGGACATTAGGGAGGTAAGTGATTCATCTTACTTTCAGTCTTTGATTTCTGAATGCTGCTTCTGAGATACTGTTTCCATAATTTCCCTTAATGACCATACACTTTTTACTTCCCAAAGACCATACTTTGGCATGCATTATATGAGTTATGAAACTTGTTCAATAGGGCAAACAGTTTACTTCGTGAGAGCTTTAAATATATATGGAAAGAAATATATGCTGTCAAGGGTCAGATATAACAAAGACATTCTGAAGCTGTTAATAAATTTTTTTAAACATAAGCTTTTAATTTTAAATAACCCTAAATATGTGTATGAATCATGAATTACTATACTCATACTCTTAGCATATAGAAGTACTACAAAAATGCTTCAAATGTTTCAATTGCTTGTTTTTGTTTTGTGTCATGAAGGTGAATGTATCTCTGTTAATATGCATATACACGCGTATGTATAACATAACCTTTCTTTGTCTATATATTAGATTCCTATTAGACATAACATCCCTTTTTCTACTTAAAACAAAAGTGAGTACTTTAGTCACTTCTCAGCCTCTTGGCTAATATCAAGTGAAAAAAGAGAGTACTTTAAGTTATTACCAAAGATACTAGGAGATGTTTGATTTGTAACACTGTCAAATCGTTTTACCTGCTAAGGTGAAAGTTTAGAATCTTTTCACTTTTTCACCTTTTCACTCACAACTAAAAAGAAAATTATATTTGTGGAAATTGAGTTTTCTGACTTTTTGCCTTTTCCATTTTTACATATTTTAAATGTATTTGTATCTTTTAAAAATATTTTTTGTATTTAATTAGCTAGTTGTTCATCAAGTTGGCCCTATTCTATGTACCCAATTCTTTTCTTACCATTCTCTTATAAGCCAATTTTATCTTACTTTTTCCCTGACTGTTCCACCAAAACTCTTCTCATAAAAGTCATTATTGACCTCCATGTTACTGAATCCGGGGTTCAATTCTCAGTCCTCTTAAGCACTTGATCCATTTTCCAGAGGACTTCCTCACTGGGCTAATAGCACATTCTCCTCTCCTGGTTTTCATCCGTATTTACTTGCTTACCTCATCGCAGGCTCTTTTACTGCTTCTGTTTCTTCTCCCCTACCTTGGAGTGTCTTCCCTTCTCCACCTACTTTTATTTCCCTGGTAAATTTCTGCAGTCTCATGGCTCCAAAAGCCACCATCATCTTAGGACTCCCAACTAATATCTCCAGCTTGTTCTTCTTTCCTAATTTCCCGATGTTTCTCTCTCAATCACTAAGGGATATCTCAAAATTAGCATTTTCAAACTCTTTTCTTGATGTTTTCTCAACAAACCAGACCCTCCTGCAGTCTTCCATATCCATTATTATTGTTGCTTAGGCCAAAAGTCTTGGAGCTGTCCTTAAGATCTCTCCCCTCACACACTTGGTTTGATTCAGCAATAAATCCTGTTATCTACAATTTCAAAATATTCATAATGGGACCTCTTCTCAGAATCTTCGTGGCTTTTTCTTTTTCTACACAATCACTTTCTCTCAGTGGATTATTTCAATAGTCATCTGTTCCCTGGTGGTCTTGCTCATGCCTTCAGCTCACCTCAGTCTGTGCTCAACACAGCAGCTTAAGCTGCCTGCCTGTAAGTCAGTTCATGTCATTTTTCTGCTTAAAACATTTTAATGACTACCTATTCTACTTACAGTATTATCAAAGCCCTTACAGTGCTCTATAAGCCATATACAATCTCTCTAATACCACCTTCCTGACCTCCTGGAGATCATCTACTGTCTCATCTGACCATGCTCTGCTCAACTGGAGTGACCTCTTAAGCAAGCCAGACCTGTTTTATTACATTTTCTTTTCTCTCTGCCTTTTGTTCAATGTTGTTTTCTCAGTGAAATGTCCCCTGACCTTGCTATGTACACATATACACTCTCCTTCTTTTGTTTGCTTATCCCACAGGACTTTCTATCACCTGACACAATGTATATTTATTTTACTGATATAGTTGGTTATCATATGCCTCCCTCCCCAACTATTCCTAAACATCTATAAGGGCTAAGATTTTTTTTTCTTGTTTTGTTCACTGCTGTCTTCAGAGTACCTATGCAGCTATTGATTGTATAATAGGCACTCAAAAAATCTTTGCTGAAAGAATAGATATTTATAAGTAAATATCAGAAGGTGTGAATGATATCAGAATATGTACTAAGATGATGCCTACTAGCAAAACAAAACAAAAAGAGATAGATGAAGTATGAAGTGGTAGACTGCTCCACTGCAACACAGATAATGATACAACTTTTTATGAATTAATAGTTCATGGCTGCATCTCTCCTCTTCATCCTCCCCACAATTCCAACTCAGAGAGTTCTTAAAGACAGTTTAACCTCTCTTCTGTATCACTAATAAGGAATTACTGGGATTTCTGGCTATCAAATCATCGGGCTCACTTCTTGATCTGTTGTTCATTCTCTCTGTCTTCATTCTCTTGGTTCTGGAGATTTAGATGATTTCCTTTCATTTTAGTACTCATTGCTCTGTTAATGCTCATCTAATCCAGCATCACTTACAGGTAAGGTCCAACATCCAATTCCCATTTTCTTACTGGCCATTTAAAAATAACTCCTTGATACTAATAGTCTCGGAATGTAGGTGACAAAACGCCCAGTCAGATGGAAAATGCACTCCTCTGATGCCAGGTGTTCTTGATTAAGAATCTATTCTCATGGGCAAAACGTTCTCCTTTCGTGTGGAATTATTTTAAAATACAACTACTCTTATCAGCCCCATCGTGTCTATGTTTATATTTTGGAAGAGTTTCTGGAGAAAGGAATATCTCTCATCACCCACCTTTGAAAGGAGATTGCAAACACAAATATTTTCAGAGCCAGGCTGGCAATGGAAAAGTAGAAAGTGCCAGGTGCAAGACAGTAGGAAGTGATGGCATTGATGAGACCTGTGAAAGGGCCTATACTCAGCCTGCATTACTGGATGTATCACTTTCTTTTTGTATGCACACACACACACACACACACACACAGAGAGAGCACTGTGAAGGCTAAATAAACTAATTCTGAAATATTCAGGTCTCAAGACCCAGGTCTGTGGCTTATGAAGGATTTTTTAAGGAACAGTCACATGTGAAAACTATTACAGTTGTGTTACACAGAAATTCTCAAATTCCTCACAACTGGCAAAAAGGGGAAATGCTAATTATTATCTCCATTTTTCTCAGATGAGAACCATAAGGTTCAGTGAGGTAAAGTAACTTGCCAAAGGTCTATGCAGTTCTCTCCCCAGCAGCACAGAAGAGAAACAAGATCAGCATGGCTTCAAAACCTGTGCTTCTTCCACTATGAACTACTTCCAAAATCAACACAGCGTAATAATTAATTCAGTGATAGCAATTATCATAAAATGCAGCTACAATATAACTGTTCTCTAAATAATCAATATTTGGATTTTTTTTTTTTTTCCAATAAGCAAGAAGATGTGAAAATCACATAGTTAAAAAAAACAGATTACTTAGCACTTAAAGCTTTTATTTTCTTGAATAATATTTTACTGGGTTATGGTCACAGAGAGTCAACTGGATTGCAAGTTTCTTTTTCTTTTCTTAATTATTCTCTTAAAACATTATTTATTTATTTTAGAGACAGAGTCTTGCTCTGTTGTCCAGGCTGAAGTGCAGTAGTGTTTTCAGCTCACTACAACCTTGAACTCCTATGCTCAAGCAATCCTCTCACCTCAGCCTTTGGAGTAGCTAAGACTACAGGGCATGTGTCATGATGTCTGGAAAATTTTTGTATTTTTATCGAGACAGGGTCCTACTATGTTGCTCAGGCTGGTCTCAAATTCCTGGTTCAAGTGATCCTCCCACCTCATCCTCCCAGTGGACTATGATTATGGGCGTAAGCCACGGATTGCAAGTTTCTTAATAGAAAAAAATAAGCTCCCTTTTCTTGATACTCGTATAACATTTCTAACATAGTATAATTTATAAATTGTACAGATAATAATTGTTTGTTGTAATAATTGAGGAAAAATTAGCAAATAAGAAAAAAACAACCACATAATAAAAAATGGAAAGGTAATTTGCTTTGCATGTGAGGACATTCTAAGGTATCTAAAAATGAACTATTATTTTGAGTAGCAAAAACTGCATTTACTTTTGCAACAATCTAATTTATAAATATGTTCCACTGATGGCTTCAGAATATATTTTTGTAATTTTTCTTTGTCAAAAAAGAAACCTATCCAAAATTTACTTTCGTTTTACATTTTGTCTTCAAACAAAACTCCTTAAATTGATTTTGACCTATGAAGAATAGGTGAGTTGGATTAAAGCTAGACACAACACTCAAATTAGAAAAATAGACAATCTTATAAAAGTAGCTTATCTCTCCAGTTTTTAATCAAGAGGATTATTAATTGTGTATGGATAATAATATATCACATACATAGCTGTGCAAATAGCTAAAATTTTCGGTGGAGTATTTTAATTACATTTTGTTTTGTGAATAAAACCATCTTGTATTTCCAACTTCCTATTAACAGTTCTTCAGAATTTCACTATGTGATTAAATGAATTAAATACATATCAGTGTTGCCTTTTCTATTATCTGAAACATGTAGTTATATTTTTCACCTTAATAGATCTAAATTACCAGAGAGTTATATTTATTAGATATGAAAAATATGAAATTTATACATAAACTTCAGGTCAAGAGATAATTGAATCTTTATTTTTTCTCATTTTTTATAGGTAGCAAGTTTTAGGGACTAGAAAAAGCTGCCTTTTTTAGAATTTTTCAAATGACAGAGGGATAAACTATTTCTCTGACTTGTAAATCCAGTTTATTTTTGGCAACACAGCCTGCAGTTAAAAATTGAATCTCCCACATGAATCACTGAATCAAAAAATGCAGTACCAAAATTACAAAATGCAAAAATTCCTGCATGTAATGTATGTCATAGAGTGAGATCATCTAATTGTGTACATAAGAGTAATTAATAATAAAAAAGACTATTATTTATCGAGGGTGTTTTCTACATGAGACACCATACAAAGCACTTCCTGAGTCCTAACAGCAATACTATGTGCTACATATTAGAATCTCAACTCACATAACATAGGAAGAAGGTGAAGCACAGAAAAGGTGAGCAACATTGACCCTTGTAACAGAGTTAGTAAGTGTCCCGAACTAGCATTTGGAGCAAGTATGTACTACTTCAATGCTCATGTTCTTGAGAAATGTGTGTATGTCTTTTGTTGATTTTATTGCTGTTAAAATGTAGTAAGAAGTTTATTTATACAGGTTAGCTTTAGACTTTTCTCTTCAGGCCACGAAATTTTCCCAGAGTTCTGTTTGCAAGTGAAATGGACAGAATACAATATTAAGCACTCTGAAAGGATCCTCTAAGATAAAAACTCTACCATCACTGAGATAAAAAATATATAAAGTAGAAAACGTCAAAAGTGAAAATAAGAAGTGTTTTAAATAATAGACATTATTTGGGATGCCTAAAATCTAGGGGTGTGTATATAATATTTCTTAAAAATTAGTCTGGCTAATTTTTGCTGAATTCATAGATTAAATTTAATTTTTTATTTTTGCACTTTAATGTCAACATAATTAACCAAGTAGCTTTTGACTGGGTCTTGATGGTCAGTATGATTGAGCTAGACAAAGACGACAAAACATATTCCACGTAGACATGAAGTCACAGAGTGTATTAGTTTTGTAGGGCTGCCATAACAAATTGCCACAAACTGGATGGCTTAAAACAACCATAATTTAGTTACTCACTGTTTTAGAGGCTTTAAGTCTGAAATCAATGTTTCAGCAGGGCCATATTCTCTCTGAAGGCTCTAGTGAGATCTTCTTCACCCCTTCTAGCTTCTAATGGTTACTGGCAATCATTGGCATTCTTGACTGGTAGCAGTATAACTCTGTATAACTCCATTCTCTGACTGCCTTCCTCCTTCTTCCCCGTATTTCTCTGTCCCCAAATCTCCTCCTTATAAAAACACCAGTCATTGGATTTAGGGCCTATCCTAATCCTGTGTGACCTCATCTTAACTTGATTATGTCAACAAAATCTTATTTGCACATAAGGTCACATTCATAGGTTCAGAGTGGACACAAATTTTGGGGGGATGTTATTAGCCCCAGTACACAGAAGTAAGGAAGTATCAGGTCACAAAACCACTTTTTTTTTCTAGGCTTTGTAGCTCAGATTTTACCCTGAAGATGGAGGGGAAGAAATAAAAGTACTGAAACCAAGAAGCAGTATGATCAGAGTAGCATTTAGAAATATCTCTTGGGCAGCAGGGTGGAGGAAAAGTAAGGAGAATAAAAGACAAAAAATACAAGAGAGAGAGCTAACTTGTTGGTGAGCAGGAGACTAGGGACAACACGATGAGTTTCATGGTGGATCTATTACTTTTTTTTTTTTTTTTGTCTTGGAATGGAGTCTTGCCCTTCGCCCAGGCTGGAGTGCAGCAGTGCAATCTTGGCTCGCTGCAACCTCCGCCTCCCAAGTTCAAGTGATTCTCAGGCCTTAGCCTCTCCAAATAGCTGGGATTACACACATGTGTCATGATGCCCAGCTAAGTTTTTTGTATTTTTAGTAGAGACGGAGTTTCACTATGTTGATCAGGCAGGCTGGTCTTGAACTCCTGACTTCAAGTGATCTGCCCACCTTGGCCTCTCAAAATTCTGGGATTACAAGTGTGAGCCATCACCTCTGGCTGATCTATTACTTTTTAATTAATTTTAATTTTTTATGTATACAAAAAATTTCAAAGTCAAATAACGACATGTATAAAGATGGTACATATATAAACACACACAGCATCTCACTTCAAGTTTTCATCCCATTTCCCTGAAATTCTTAATGTCAACCCTTTTATCTACTACTTCTGGTATTTTCTGTCTTTATTATTTAAACAAAATTTATGTCTTGCTATTTTATTAGATTAGGACATTACCTATTTTATTCCTTATTTTACTTTTTATTCTGCCTGTCCTTTCATTAGAGTTATCATCTGAAAAAAAAAAAAAAGAAAGAAAGAAAATTGGAAGAAAGGCTGTCTGCTTATCTGATTATTATAGGTGATGGGACTGGCTCTGGACCCTGTAGGAAAGTGGCAAAGGCACTGATTAGGAATAAGTGATGAAATGATTCTGGATAATAAGATATGGAAACTATTGCCATTTCCTCAATTCCAGGATTCTTATACAAAGAAGCTTCCCACATTCTCAGGAAACCATTCCAGGCCAATGAACCTCACTTCTGCACTTGATTTTCCCCCAACATCTTGCCAATAAAATAGGTTATCTAGCTACCAATAAATTTCCACGTAAGCTGTGAGTAAGGTAAAATTATCTCCGTATTACTACCTATAAATTTTATTATTTAAAAATTACTGTTTAAAATATTATCAATGCCATGATTTTCTCCACTTGAACTTGATTTTTTCATATATTTATGCATCCATGGACTTCTTTAAACTCTTATGTAATTGAAACATATATAACTAGGTAAATGGTTAAGAGTCTAAGTCAGTTGGTAAACTTGTAAATAAGATCCAAATGTACTATTTTTTTTTTTTGTGGCCTGCTGTTTTAACCACAGAGTTCCTCTTTCTTAACATAAAGGTAAGAATACGGATGGTATTTGTTATCTATTTGAAGATTGCTTTACAATTTAGAACTGTAGTCGCCATTTTAACAATTTTATGATTTGCAACTCTACTCATAATTGTAATTAATTTTACTGCATAATGAACTAATTTATCTGCCACTTCTCTTACAAGAGTGCCAGTTCTACAGCAGACAGTTTCAAAAGCTGCTCCATTGTATTCTTAGACAGCAAAACGCTTTTGGTTAACCAAAGATACAAAAATAATTCTGACAACTAAGTTGGGAAAAGTTACCTGAAATCTTGCATTCCTTCAAAGAAAAGAAAGGAATGAGTATTTATTTCAAGAATGCAATAGTTTTTATGTTTCTTTTTTATTTAACAAGACAATAATTAAACAATCTGAGAATCTGACTTGCTTTTTTAAAATTATTTTAATTGTAGGCCATGGCACAAAAGGAAGATATGGAAGAAAGAATTACAACCCTTGAAAAGCGTTACCTCAGTGCTCAGAGAGAATCTACCTCCATACATGACATGAATGATAAACTAGAAAATGAGTTAGCAAATAAAGAAGCTATCCTACGGCAGGTTCAGTATCTCTGTCTTGGTTTTTTTCTGGTCCATGCATTCTCATCATTCTCACAAAACAGGGAGTAAATAAAATAGGGTACTTCTTGACAGATGTTTGAGTAATCATTCTCTAAAATTAAAAATTCTCTGGCAAAACAAATATGATTTTCAGTGTGAAATTTCCTTTCTAGAAAGATAAATTATTTATCTGAATAATAATACAAGTAATGACTATGACTTACTTTTCATATAGGCATGAGCCAGAAATTGTGCTAAACAGTTTTCGTGTATTACCTCACTTAATTCTAACCACCACCTATGAAGTAGGCAGAGTTATTGTACTGAAGACACTACAGTTCAGAGACAGTCACACTTTCCCAAGGTCATACATCTACTAAACACCAGAGCCAATAGTGGAATCCTAAGTTTATTGGGCTCTAGAGCAGAAATAGGCAAACTATAGCTGTGGGCCAAAGCTAGTTGGTTGCCTTCTCTTGTTAATCAAGTCTTATTGGAACACAGCCATGCCCAATCATTTAATCATTGTCTATGACTGTTTTTGTGCTACAATACAGTTGAGTATTTGGGATTGAGGCCATATGGTACATGAGGCCTAAAATTTTTACTATCTGACCTGTTACTGAAAATGTTTGCCAATCTTATCTCCAGAGCCTGGATCATCATGCTACAGTACCTCTCCCACTCCAGTCTAAATACTATGATTTTCAATATTTTGCTATGGTGGTATATCTGATGTCTTAGTACTGAGCTATATTCCCTTTGTTAAAATTTATACTCATGAGTAATTTCTTTCCTTTTTGCTGCCAGTGGTAAGAACTTTTTCATTGTTTTAATGTGCTTAAATTTATGAAGGAAATGGATAAGCAATATATGAAAACAAGACAACAATCAACACTTTGCACATTTAGGTGTGGTAGTGGCTGATTTTAAATATAAAATCATGGCTGAAGTGCAAAGCCCCCGGCGACTGGTGTTTGCTATCCAAACTCTGACTCTTTAAGTGTCTCTGCTCCCATTCCCATTTCAGATGGAAGAGAAAAACAGACAGTTACAAGAACGTCTTGAGCTAGCTGAACAAAAGTTGCAGCAGACCATGAGGAAGGCTGAAACCTTGCCTGAAGTAGAGGCTGAACTGGCTCAGAGAATTGCAGCCCTAACCAAGGTACTGCACTAGAACAATTGGTCAACCTAGGTATATTTGTCGAAAGGATTAGCAATCAAAATGAAATGTATAAAGATTTTCTATAGGCTTTATGAAAATTAAGTTTATTTAATCTTTATTATATTTGTCTGTTATTAAGTCAGTTTTTTTCTTGTCATACATATTTATGCCAGCAGGAATAATTGTTATACAAATGTGATGATCCCCCTGCCTATTTAAACATTAACAAAACAAGTAAAATTTCATGTCATTGTTATAGTTACTTTTCCATGGTAATATTTGTATAAGAATAATCCTGGAGACAAACAAAAACGATAATGTTATCTATATGAGACATAACAATTTAACAGGCTTCACATCAGTTGCTATTAGAAGTATACAAAATATCATAACTTTTTGATTCCTCCCCAACTACAGTATAAAACTTGTTAGAAGTGGGAAGTTAGACTTATAAAAGTCTGAGGTCTAAACAATTAAACAGTCAGAAAGCGGTTTTACAGTTGTAATTTCCTCTGAAAATTAAAATCAATAATAGTCTGAAGAATGTTCAAAATTTTCTGTGTAATATGGCTGGTAGATTCTGCAACTATCTGAATATTTTGGAATTTTACAAGCATTATAATGTTAAAAAGGACTATTCTGACCTCTGACAGTCAAACGGAAATAGTATCATTTCAAAGTGTGTGTACATGTCACAAGTTATATAAAAGCGCATTTTGTCACTAAAAGCCTGTTTGACATTTGATATGAATTCAAAAATAATCACACAATTTATATTTTTACACAATCATTAATATTTGCTAAGTTTTCAAGGCCACTACAGTAAATGAGTATGATAGGTATTTGGACTTCAAGTTTAAAATTATGGGATTAGGATTTACCCAAAATAATTGATGCAGCAATGAAGTAGACATACACGCATGATTTTCTAAAACAGCAATTAATTAAAAATGAACAGTGGACTGATCTTCCTGTTGGTTAAAATAGGACAGTTAAGCAGGTAATGAAAGGCAAACCTTTGACGAAGTAGAGCGGGATTAGAGAGCGTTGAAACAGTTGCTCGTTTGCAGAGTGTTGGAGTAACTAGTTTGCTAAAACTGATTGAGATGGGATTATAATTTGGATCGTTCTGTAGTCACAAACCATGCCAGTAAACTACTATGGCAATTTCAGGAATGTGTGATTTCTAAGATAAACATAAATTTATCATTTAATTTGAAAAAAATATTTAAATATGTTGGTATTATTTCATTTTTTTCCTGCAAACACAGATCTTAAATGACTAAAACATAGACTAAGATATGCATAATTAGCCCTTTCATCTAAAGAACATAAAGGACTTTCAAAAAGAGTTATCTTTTTCAATTGCACTGTTTTGGGGGGTTAGATGAGTGACTGAATACGAAAAATAACTTTTGTAAAGTTGTAGCTTAAAATAATGATCAATATTATCCTGACTAAAACACAGGAAAGTCTACAATTTCCCCCCATTTACAATTCAGAAAATCACTGCCCCACATTAACCTTTGATAGATTGAGAATAAAAACAATTTAAAATATAATATTTGACATAAAAATACTATATTAAATATTACCAAGAATTATTGATTTAGAATATGTAAAAATAACTGGAATTAGGTGCCTTATATTCTTTGTTTTTATCTTATCTATTCTGTTAAATTCATTCATATATATATATATATATATATATATAAAATATTACCTTGGGCACAAAAAATAGCTCCCCTCAGCTTTCTCCTCCCTAATATACTACCAAATTCCACTGTCTCTGAACCTCTTTGATTTCATTTTTCAGAAAATTGGAATTCTTCCAAAAAGTCTTCAAACACTCTAATTCACTCTCCTTTTTATCACTTTCTTTTCTGACTAGTGCTATGTCAACAACATATTTCAAATATACACTTTTTATATTATTACCGTATTTTATTCATTATGAAAGCTCCTTAAGTACTGAGATTTTATCCTGAACACATTCCTTTTGCCTGTATTTTTTTTAACATTTGAGGATCACCCTTTCATTTCTTGTACCAAGTTTTTTGGTTTCAACAGCCTTGTACTTTTTCTTGTACTCTGTTCTCAAGACCTTTAGGGTCTATCTTTATACCTGTTGTTTTTTCTGTTTCAATTTGTTTCAGATATTTCCCTATTATGGATCATCACAGTCTTCTTCTTTTGTTAACCTTTTGACTGCTCACTAAAGTAAAAATATTTCTTCTTAGCTTAAACATGGGTTCCTCCTCCTATATTTTGAATGACATTCTTAATAACCCCTCAGACATTTTATTTTACCAATATACTTTTTTTCTACTTTACTATCACTTTTCTTCTTTTTTCTAGGTCTTTCTCTTTAAATTTAATTTCTTCTCCCTTTCTGAGTTTGTTCATGTTCTTCTCAAAACCATTTCTGCCTGTAGTTCATCCTGAAACTTTAGTATATTTTAAATTTTCCTATATCATATTAAGGAGTGAAACCAAGATAAACAGTTTTTCACCAAGGAGTATAAAAAATAGCAGACTGTTTCTGTGTGATCTTTGTATTTACAACAATTGCTGAAACTGTAGTTTTCACATAGACTGAAAATCAGCACTGTTGGTTGAAAATTGGTCCCAGTATATATTATTTAGAAGGGATGTCTGAATGCATTCTTTGATAAACTATTTTTCTCCTTCTGATGTATGTGTGTGTTTGCGCGTGCACGTGTGTATAGGCGAAGCTTATTTATGGCTTTAGAAAGTCAGAATTATTGATTAATGGCTATGGATCCAACTAAAACTTTTGCTTTGGTGAGTTTATACACAATTAACCAATAAAGATTACTTTTGGCTCCCAGTCTTATGATTTATTATATCTACTTTTTAATTAAAATGCATATTCCTTTAGTAAGGACATAATTCATCTTGAATGAGGTATTTTATTTATTTCTAGTACCAATAAAATGTATCAGCAGTAACAGTAATTTAAACAGGACCAAATTCTTATTTTATCTCTGAAGTGAATTTTCAAAATTTTGGTGTTTTTTGTGTGTGTGTGTGTGGTTTTTTTTTAAGTTTTATGTGTTTTTAATAAGTAAACAGAAAGAACTAGAAGTTTTAAAGACCTCTAAAAACTTGTATTTTTGAAGACACAGTTTTGGCAGTTGAAATATTCATGTCTCAGGTGTCTTGAGTCATCTAATTAATTTAAACACCAATAACTGCATGTTAAAATGTAATTTTGAAAGATCACAGATACCTTTATGAATTTAGATTATATAATTTCAACAACATTTTTATCCACTTACTGTATTCTTAATCTAACTCTAAATTTTAAATAGTATTATAAAAAAGTTATGGCATTTGGGGACCAAGGTAACTCTGTGTAGCTTCTAAATTGGAAATTTGAGGATGACCTGGAAGAAATAAATTGGTTATTTGTTATGTCTTTATTATCTTCCACATTTATAAAATAAGAATATGGAAGGAAAACCTTACAAAATGTAAATGTTGAATCATAGTTTGCATAAGCACACCAGAATTGAAATGTTAAATGTTTGCTTTCATAGGTTAAATTTGAATTTATTGCATAAAATAGTACATATGCATCTGAATCAAATGAATAGGTTACTATTTCTTTTCAGTTACTGCATGACATATTTATATATAGTTCTATATTGGCATAAAGTGAGTTTCACTGTTTTAGAACGAACTTATAAAATGTGATAGAATATGCTCTGGAGTTAAATTTTGTGGTCCTGACATAAGAGTCCTTTAGATGTAATAATTATTTAACTTGCAATGATTAAAATGTTGATGTAACTTCATATGTAATCCTTGCATAATATACTAACAATTTTGTTTTAAATAATGTCACATGTGTTGAACACTCTGCACCTGTGGTAACCTGACAGTCACTTCCAAGACATGTATCTAACCTTGGCACTGGGCAAACACGAGCTTACAAGGAACCTGTGCCGCCTGTTCACTTGAGGCACTATTTTGTTTCCACAGCAACAAATCAGTGGAGAAACAGTTTGGAATTGGCCCCTGGTGTCATTTAGGAGAGTCACAAACAAGATTTCTTGTTCTCACAGCATTGTTATCACTGGATAATTCGAGGACTTTCAATCATTTTCTTTTAAAATTTCTAATTAAACCTATCTGAGAGTAGGCCATTAAATTCTAGATCAATATCTGAGAGTAGACCATTAGACCAATATCTGAGATCAAGTATCTGAGAGTAGGCCGATTCTAGACCAATGACCATAGTGTGCATTCAGAGAACAGAAATCATTTCATAAGTTTTCCTGTTGCTGAGGAAGCTCAATCTTGCTTGAACTGGGGACTACTCACAATAACCCCCGGGTTAGTTTTTTATCTTATTTCTACAGAGCAAGGTTTAGAATACATTTTGTTCCAAATTAATTACACCTGAGTCATTGTCTAGCATATTCCTCAACATTGTGATACTACTGTTTCCATCATTTTCAAGTAATATAGACAAAGAAACCCAAATATAAACTTCTAACAGTCTATCAGAGACATATTCTGGTGTTTGGTTTCCCATAATTCTAATTATTATATAACTCTTTCAGAGTTGCTTTATTCATTCTGTAGTAGTCTTTCATTGCCAGCCATCACTAACCTTTCATATCTTAGGTTGATAGCTTTTTATTTTAGTATATTATTTTTTATTTAAAACCATCAACTGCATCGTGTTCACCAAATATCAATGTAGTTCTTTCCACATAAAATTCTGTCTATTAAAGTATTAAATTTGCTGTCACACTTTTCTTTTAAGCATTCTGTGCTATGTTCTGTTCAGTGTCAGTGTCTTTAGTTCTGATTTTTCAATTTTGTCCCTCTCCTTTTCCTTGACTTGTTAGTCTGATCCAACCTCTTCTACCTCATCTGATGATTATCAATATGTTATGGAAGCTAAACTACAAGAAATGATCTCCATACGTAGGAAGGTAGTCCTACTGGACTTTACTTTCTATTGCTAAATAGAATCCATCTAAGTTTTTCTTTTCATTTATAAAAATTATGTTACTTTTATTTATTGATAATCAACCATCTGTGCAGTTCAGTGCTTCAGGAGCTTAAGATTGGACAATGGCAGGTTTGTGTTCAAACCATGCACAGTCTGCATGTTACATTTGGCTGATTTCATTGCTCATAAATAACTCTAATGTTTTGCTGATGCTTGGATGTAACAGGCCTTTGTAGCTGACACATTTCAAGCAATGCTGTTCAGCTGCCTGTTTGAAGAAAGTTTATTTTTTAAAAACTATGTTTGCAGTTGGTAGTAGCTTGCTTTACATTTTATTTCAATTTATTTAGAGGAAAAGTGTTAACCAAATCTTACATTTCAGGTGCATTCTTCATATTTCTTAACAGGCTGAAGAGAGACATGGAAATATTGAAGAACGTATGAGACATCTAGAGGGCCAACTTGAAGAGAAAAATCAAGAACTTCAAAGAGTATGTATATTAAGAACTATTACCCCCCAATCATCGGTTTATGAATTTATATTCTGCATATAAGAAGAAAGCCTTTAATTGAGTATGGGTTGTATTTAAAACCTACAGATACGACCTGTAGACTTTGAAGAAAAAGTTTCCACCACTTTAACCAAAACAGATCTAAAATTAAATTCAATTTAAAACTAGCAATGCTATAAAAATAATCTCAAACAATTTTTGAATGGATTTTTATGTCATTTTTAAAAATGTAAGGCTAGGCAAAGAGAGAAAATGAATGAGGAGCATAACAAGAGATTATCGGATACTGTTGATAGACTTCTGACTGAATCCAATGAACGCCTACAACTACACTTAAAGGAAAGAATGGCTGCTCTAGAAGAAAAGGTAAAATGAAAGAAGGGTAAAATCACATGAATATTTTGCAATGCTCTTATGATCATGTTTGTTTTATATACAGCTGCAATTATTGTAATAGTCAGATGATCCATTTACTTAGTTTTTTAAAATGCCTGATATATTCTTAGAAAGAAATGCATATTTTTTATTTTAAAAAGTATAAGATCATATTTGGGATGAATATAAAAATTGCATGAGATATAAATATTTTATATTGGCATGTTCATATGAGGCAAATGTAGTAAAATATGCTGTGCTTTTATGATGAAAATATTTTATTTATCCTCTACCTGGTATGCAAAATAAAAAAGTGATGAGACACAAGTCAATACTTTTTGGTGGGGGGAGGTGATTTGAAATATTCATGTGTCAAGTGACTGATATCTACACACCAGTCTAAAAGTCAAAATGTAAGTGAGTTTATATAATCAGAAGAACCAGTATCAATCCCAGTAGAGGGTTTAGGAACCCAGTATTTTCAGCTGCATTATTTCAGAAATAGTGCTTCTCTACAGTCTGCAATGTGATTTACAGTTACATATGTCTCATTGATAGTTGGCAGCTACCAGACCAGCAAGAGTTATGAGAGCTGGTTACCAATTCCAGAGCATAAATTAAGGTAGGGTGTAAAACCCAGATGATCATATCATTTTGGAAATTTAGATTAAATGCCAATCACTATTTTAGCTAGACATTTTCCATTAGTGCATAAAATAAACCAAAATAGGGAAAATGTTTTGATGAAAAGTTAAAGTAGTTTGATTAATTTACCCATTAGAAAGTTATAAGACATGACTTCCTCTCATACAACTTCAAATACGTGGCCACTGTGGAATTACTACACTCTTAGTTTAATTTTACTCTATAAATATGAAAAGAATACATTATTTTAAATAATGCCTTATAGTATTTGTGTGTTTTGTAGAAAAATAAATACTTTTTAACAACAAAAATAATTTTCTGGCAAGGTTTATTTTAAGTATCGATGATGCCAACATATTTCCACATGACTTTGTGACATATAATATTAGGTTTATGAGTAGCTAGAATTTGTTATTTCCCTAATAATTTAAGTATCATTATGAATTGTTAATTCCACATTGCAGTAGATGTCCAGAAAGTTAAATTTTTAAGAATATGATTTCCTGATTTCTTCTTTCTTCAGATAATAGAAGTGAGTTCTTCTGAATTCTTTATAACACCTCTAAGATTTAGCTTGTTGCTCACTTTTTCTTATTTGAAGAATGACCAATAGTTTCCAATTTAAAATGTGGTCTGAGAAAAGGCAAACAGAAATAGCTTAAAAAACAACATTTATTTCATTTGTTCATTCAAGTGTTACAAAATAACATTTTCCATTTAAATTACATATTTTTTTAAATGTGAAGGTCTCATGTTTAAAATTTCATCAAAGTGTGATTTCCATGAAATACCTGTACTAAGGAACAAATCTAAGAGGATTCTTGAGTGATAGAATATTAATCAATATATATTTAAGTATTTTATGTTTAATTTATTAATTATTTCTGCTATTTTCTTTTTTTAGAATGTTTTAATTCAAGAATCAGAAACTTTCAGAAAGAATCTTGAAGAATCTTTACATGATAAGGTATAATGGAAACTTACATTTTTGGCCCATTTTTCTATTTTTATTTTCTATTCCACTGATGAATGTTTTGTTGTAAAATAAATTTGAAAAAATAATTTTAGTATGCTATCTTTGTAAAACAATTTTAACATTTTTATTATACCTGCAGAAGAGTGTACATAGAGAGGGAGAGCTTGATGAATCTTTGCAACCCAAATTCATCAAAAATTTGCATTCCAGAAACTCCCCCCAGATTAGTCTATATTCATACTCTTCCATTAAAGGATAATCACTATCTTGACTTATAACATTAAAAAATGGTTTTATCTTGCTTTATGCCTTATATAAATAGAATTAAAATATATGCACTAATTTATGCCTAGTTTTAGATAGTCTTTCAGCAGAAATATATTAAATACTATTATATATAAGAATTATGCTAAGTTATATATGTCTGAACATAATCCTAGTTCCAAAGTAGCTAAAAAGTTCTAATTGAGGAGAGAGAACACAGTCTTTACAAACCAGTGGAGATGCAGAATAGCAGATGCCAAGTGCCAAATTAGTGAAGTAGACAGTAAGAGCTACAGGTAGGAAAGACCATAATATAATGCTGCTGTGAAGAAGACTTCAGGAAGGAGGGACTTGATTTAAGATTTAAGGGAAAGTAGGAGTCTGATGCAAGGCTTTCAAACATAGTGCATGTGGCATGATCACAGGTGCTTGGTGGGGGGAGGGGATGGGTAATGAGTGTGACATTTTAAATAATAGGCACAACTATTTTTCTGAAATCAATTATTACTGTTGTAGGGTATGTGGTAGAAGAGGAAACTAAGGGCAGATTGTGAAATTTTAATGGTAGTTGCTAATATGTATTTTTCTTATTAGCCTGTAAAGTTATTGTTAGCAATTTTATCTTATTTTGTTAAAGAAGATAGGATTGCTAACTTAAGAAGTGATCTGTAATTGTGTGTTGAGAAAAGATAGAAGAAATGGAGAGAGAGAAGGAAGGGAAAAGGGGAATGAAGAAAAGAAGGGAGAGGGGGAAGAAGGAAGGGAGGGAAGGGAGGGGAGGGAAGGGAGGAGGGAGGAGGGAAGGGATAGTATGGAATATAGAAGGTATTGGAAAAGATGAAGAATAGATGAAAAAGAACAATTATACATTTAACCCTACTGGATGCTGCATATTATGATGCAATTAAAAATAACTATTTAATTCTATAGTCAAGGTGTCCACAATCTCCTGAAAGATAGGTCTTTAGAACAATGTTATATGGGACCTAGAAGATAGTATCTGATTCTTTCTGAGGTAGTTCACAATGACAACACAGGAGATTACATTTTTAGGAGCCTCTTAAAGACATATATGATCTTAATAAAGGTAGAAGATTCTAGGTAGAGGATGAATCCTCTGCAACAGCACAAAGAAAATCAAGATGGTTGATTTGATGAATCATCAGAAGTTTACTGTGACTGGTATGTATTTAAAGAAGTAGTTTTTGAGCAGATTGTGAATTTTGGACTAGATGTTGTTATGCGTGTGATGTTATCCAAAGCTCTGTGTGCTCTTGGCAATATCCCCAGAACCCACTCCCCCACCACCTACCGAAGTCTTGTAACTCCAACAATCTGCCTAAGCAACCAAGAGTACTAATCATATCATGCTTTGCATCCTTGCTTATGTCAGTCTCCACAGAGAGTAAATCCCAGGTTATACCTCATTTCTGAACTATCATCCCATTTAGATGGGCACATTCACTAATCTGACCACATCTTCTATAATTCCTCAAATTTCCACTGAACTAACTGTACTCACAGTCCATTATCAGCAAAACCCTCTGTAGGCTCAACCTCTTTCTCAGTGTTTCCCTTTCCATCTTTATCTCTAAAATTTAAAGTTTCTAGGTAGCTGTCCTTTCTTCTCTCTGATTCGCCCTTAGTGACCTCATCTGATCTCCTGTATTTAAACACCATCTGTAAATTGAGCACATTCAAATTTAGATTACCTACTGGGTCCTCTTCCCTGAGAGAGATTTTATATTCTAGTGCCAACTCAATATCTCCATTTGGACACCTATGTACCTCAAATGTAACATGCCAATCTATTCTCACCCTACTCCCACACGTCGAACACCACCACCACCTAACCTAACACACCAGCAGTCTTCTCAGTCAATCTTAATTACAATTTCTTTCTTTCAGTTACTCAGGCTAAAAAACTTGGACTCAGTCTTGACCCCTATGTTTATTTCATGTCCCTCATCTAGTCCAATATCAAATCCTCTTAGTTCTGCTCTCACAATGTAGCAAAATATAGCCAGTCTTACCCTAACACCCATCTTGTCCAAGCCATTACTCTCTTGCCTAAAAATTTCCTCTTTTCTACCTCCCAATTTAACTTGACAATCTATTTCACAGCCATTAGAGTGATCATGCCACTTCTCTGCTAGAAAATCCGGGAAACATAGCAAGACCCCATCTTTACAAAAGTAAAAAATAAAAACAAATTACCCAGGTGCAGTGGTACACACCTGTAGTCCTCCTAACTACTTGGAAGGCTGAGGCTAGAGAATTACTTGAGCCCGGGAGTTCAAGGCTGCAATGAGCTGTGATCACAAAACTGCACTCCAGTTTAGGTGACAAAGTGAGACCCTGTCTTTAAATGAATAAATAAATGAAAGAATTTTTTTAAATCCTCCAATTGTTGCCCATCTCATGCAGAGTAAAAGCCAGAGAGTTTGAAGTGGTTTACAACCTCTTTTAGGACTACCCTTCCTGAGTTCTGCAATCATACTTTTAAAAAGTATCCTCTACTTGTCTATTTAACCTCTCCAATCCAGCCACACTGGACTCCCTACCCTCTACTCCGTTTCCACTAACAGGCATATGCACGTGCTGTTGCTTTTATCTGCCATGCCTTTTCCTAAGAGTCTCATTTTTTAATTTCTCCTTTATTTAGGTCATTGCTCAAGTATCACTTTACTGAAAAGCCCTTCCATTACTCCCATTTTCTCCTTCCTAACAACATTGTATATTCCTATATTCCTGCTTGTTTATTGTTCATCTTTTCTACTAAATTCTAAATTGCAAGAGGGCAAGACATTTTTCAACTCACTACTGTATCTCAGGTGCCTGACACACAAGAGGTACTCACCGCACTTTTGTGAAAATAATGAACAAAGATAGTTACAAATCAATAAGAAACTATTGAACATTTTAAAGCAACGTGTTAGTTTATTGTACATGTGTTTTAAAATTACATGTCTGGCAGAGAAATGTGTAGGAAAGAGACTGAAGCTGGTAAAAATCATTCAGGAAAAAGATAAAAAGGGCTTAGAGTAGGATGGTAGTGAGGTAGTGAGAATAAAAAGAACAGAGAAGAGAAACATTGCAAAGGCCACATTGACAAAAAAAAAAAGTGTGGTAAGAAAAGAAGTTTGAGTAAAGTAAAATATCAAGCACTAGCCACTGGGGAGGGGAAAAACAATAGTAGAAAAAATCTAGAATGATACATTTAGACCTGTATAACGATATAAAAGTTATAATCATTAAAACCAAATTGAATGCTTACATGAGCAGTTAAATAAAGCTCTAAGACAACCCTTATCTTCATAAATTTACAGACCAGAACCTATAATGTCAATTTGAAAAAATTATCAGTAAGTACAAGTAATTGTGCCAATATCAAGCTAATCAGTTGTTAACTTTATTTTTTAAGGTGCACTCCAGCCTCAGTGACAGAGTGAGGCCGTGTCTTAAAATAAATAAATAAATACATACATACATACGTACATACATGCATACATATTTTTTTAAAAAATACTCCAATTGTTGCCTATCTCTTACAGAGTAAAAGCCAGAGAGTTGAGTTTGCTTTTTCTTCCAAACCAATCCTCTTTTTCCTTCACGTGTATGTCCTTTAACCCTTGTAGAATATTGGAAATCCTTCATTTACTGTAGAAAAAAGACATTTTCTTTATTTTCAAAAATAGATATGATTTCTACTCTGCATTTTTAAGTGACGTCTACATAGCTGGCCATAATTTTAATATTCCCTTGAATTTTCAAATATTCAGGATTAGTGAATGCCAGGGATTGTAGATAATTTTTTATTGATTTCTGCTATCCACATTTTTTATTACAAGGGGAAAATTTTGGCATGCTTTATTATTATGTGTAATGATCTTTAATAAAAATATATCCTCAGTTTTTCCTTTTTAAAAAAACCATTAAGACTGATTTATCATAATTAGTTGCTGATATTACTGGCATTGGAGTAACACTGTTTTGATTTTTTAGGAAAGATTAGCAGAAGAAATTGAAAAGCTGAGATCTGAACTTGACCAACTGAAAATGAGAACTGGCTCTTTAATTGAACCCACAATATCAAGGTAACATTAAACTAAAAGCTTATCTCTAGTTCACTGAAAATCAACATGAATTCCCTTATGGTTTCGTATGTCCTCAACTAAAATATATCGGTACTTCTTATTGCTCACTAGTCATTACCATGTTTTGACTCTTCACTGATTTACAGTTTTTACTTCAAAAATAACTTTTTAATTTAGAAATTATTTCTGTAATCAATAAAAAATTAAATTATTACCTTTTGTATTCTACATTTCATTATATAGATAGAAATATATTAAAAGATTCTTAAATGAAGAAATTGAACTGTGTACAGAGATATTGCATCTCATTGCAAGAAGAGGCGTCAGCCCTTTTCTCTATATGTGTTCAATACAGAAATTGAATTCAACATAAAATTTTCTACATGTGTTCAGTGTAAAAACAGGCGGAAATATGTTCAATGCTTATTGTGACTAAACAAATATTATTGATTACGGTCACTTAGCAGTTACCTATTTCGGTAAAGTAATTGCAAAAAAAGAGGAAAAGAGAAATGAATCAGGTTAAAAAAAAAAAAGAAAAAAAAATTCAAATAAATTTAGCCATACTCATCTACTTTGATTCACTATCTCATCTTAAGAAAAATAAGCAATGGATGTCAACTTACTTGATAGATGATAGATAGATAGATAGATAGATAGATAGATAGATAGATAGATAGATATGTTAATAATTCATAAATAATTTCCTTTTGTGTTTGAGTTGTTTTATTTAAAATTGTTTAGAAGTCCTAGAAGGACTCACTCATTTAAACATGTATTTACTAGGCAACACAGAATAATAGCAGCTGTTTGAAACTTTCCACTACCAAAGGCTTTTAGGAAAAGTCCATCTTTCTTGGTGTAATGTTCATCTTTAGAAAGTTAACTCCACCAGAGTATTTGTTTTGATAACTACCATAATCTCAAGACCTAAAAAACTATTTTGCATATAGTATGCTCTCAAGATATATTATAGAATGAGTAAGTGAATATCTGGTTTCAGATGCTCAAATAAAAATTCAAATAAAAAATCTTAAAGTGTCTTAAACTCTTTTCAATAAGGAAAAGCAATATTTAATATTTTAAGTATTTCCATACTCAATTTAATATGAGAAACAGTTTGGCAGGCATAAAAACACCCAAGAAACTTTTATATATGTAAGTCACTAATTGAGAAAATCATTCTTATTTTTCAAATTTTTAAGATTCTGATTTTTATATATGAACTGAAATTATTATTTCAATGGTATGTGTTCACATGGTTATGATTATTATAACGAGGATGGTGGAGAAGGAGAAGAACTGATAAAATATCAAGGAAGTCAATGCATAGAATAAGCATTATTGAATCAATAGATTAAATATATATGAATAAGAATAAATGATCAGTTCCTTATTTGTTTGACCTCAGGTCTCAAAATACAGAGTTTCAAAGTGTTGTCTAAAAGTCTATCACTGCACTGAGTCATTATGGGCAGCCTAACAATGTGACATTTATCTACAATGAAGGATGATTGAGCCTATATAGAACAATTATTCTTTGATCAACAGGTTGTAGTGGAAGTAACCCTAGACCAAGAATAAGACAATCCACATTCCCAGGACTCAGACAGATAATTACAAGCTGCTTGATTTTGGAAAACCCGTTTTCCTTAATAACATTCTAAATAAATACATATTTGTACCTAAATAGGCATAAATGATATTTTTCTGATTATCTCACAGGCTTGCCTTGCAGATAAAATAAGACAAGTAAGCGTTATAGTAAATCATATTATATGTATAGTATGTATAGTAAATCATATTACAAGTATAAAGTATTATAGAAATAAGGTAAGCTAGCTAAACAGAACTTATAATAAGTTACAGGATAACTGAATGTTTATTAAACAGTTATTTATAGAACATCCATGCTTCTGAGGACAAATAATTTTGTAAAAACAATAATGGAAATAGGAGGTGCGTGAGAACTCAGTCTACTAAGTTTTGATCTAATAGGTAGGGAGGTGAGGAGAGATAAGCTAGGCGAGTGAATATCAGTGACCACTCTTGTCTCTTAATATCTCGTCGAGAAGAAAGTAAAATGAGTTCCAGAGTGACTAAAAAGGGCTTGATTTGGCTCAACTCTGAAAAAAGGTAGAATCTGGGTAATTGGAAAGGACAACAGAGGACACTCCAGAAAGCAGAGCGATGAGTAATGGGTTTTCTCTAAAAAAATTCTTACCTGACTTATTTATGCTAGTTCTTTAATGAGATTAAAGAACAGGAGATTCAGGAGGAGAAACTACAGGGTTCATTGCTTAAATGAACTGATACCTATTTTGTGACTTAGCCCTTCCAAAAGCCTTTCAAAATATTGAACACCTAGAATGATTTAGAAATTGAACTAGCATGATAATATTGCCTCTATTTTCTCCTGTTAGAGAACTATCTCAGAGAACTGGAAAAAAGAGGAGAGAGATGAATGTGAGGACTGTTATAATAAAAAGAATATTAGGAGCTAGAATAGTAGATGGCAATAGTATTTTTAAACTGAGACCTTAAAACTGTTAACCACATGTGTTGAGACTGTTTTCAGGAGAAAACTAACAATCAAAAACAAACAAACAAACAAAGCATGTTCAAAGAAATGAAAAGAAAGTGTGAGTTACTGGAATTGAAAGAAAGTCAATATAGCTGTATGAAAAGTTATGCAGAGAGTACCTTAAAATGAAACTGGAAAGTGGCAAAGGTCCAAATTACAGAGGTCCTTTAAGGACATTGAATAATTTTAAACAGGAAATTGACATGATTAGATCTGTGTTTTGCTTTTTTTTTTTAAATGAATTATCTGGAGTTGTGAGATAAATCAACAAGAAAACAATGCTCATAGAATGATGAGTTCTAACGTTAGAAACTCCACTGTGATACCTAAAGGGACATTAAGGTAAGCAGCCACAGGAAAAAGGAACCCAGACTGTTCAGAGCAAGATAGTTTAAGCCTGTATTATAATCATTTCATGTATTTATCATCTTGCCAGATATTTATGAAGTGCTTATTATATGCTAGGAACGCCTTCCTGGACATAGGAAGGTAACTAAAATCTGATCTTTGTTCTTCATGAAACTTAGAACCTCTTCCCAACAGATAAAGACAGAGAGTTGTGTCCTTTATGAATATGGCCTTGTTGTTTTTTTTTATGTAACTTATCCATGATAAAACCTGTTTACTTCATTAAGTCTCAAGTATATTGCTACAAAAACAATAGCTGTCACTTATTTGAGGGATAACTTTTCAGTTCTTTGGTTTCAATGTCCCATTGGTAAAACAAGAACTTTCTTAAGTTAGTGTCTTCCGTTGCTGCAAACACCCAGACCTCACCTCCCCTTTTTAATGTTACAAAATATTTGGAAGTGCTTATCTTTGTTCACAAGGATAACTTAAAAAGAGAGTATAGTCAATCAGCAGGAGCCTCAAATTCAACAGAACTAACAGCTTTAAGTGTATTTCCTGCTGATGATGGATTTGTTATTTCATTTTATAGGGCAGCATGATGTCGCTGTTATTATCATCATCATTATTGTAACAATAAAATGAATTTGCTATAAATCCACATATAAGTAATATGCCTGGACTTTGATTATAGGGTACTTTATTGCCATGTTTTTTGAAAACTAGTGTAATGATACTTTCCAACTAAAATTTTCCGACTCTTTCATCTTTAAACAGATTTAAGAATGAAATGTGCTTATGAAAAGATTTTTCTTCATCCTTTTGAAACAATGTCTTATCAAAAACTTTTAAAAAATACTTTTGGTAGTCTATCCTATTTTCTTTTATAAAACTAAGACCATAAGCTTTGGGTCTATCTAAATTTAAGCATTTTGTTGATTCTCTAAATTGAAAAATAGAATGTGAAAAATAGACAATGTGTGAATAAATTTCTCCAAACATTTTAAAATTGGAAAAGTTCTGGGACCCCCAAATTTTAGACATTTTTGGCTAGATTTATCAGAAACACTTAAACACAGTAAGCAATAGCATATATTGTGATATACACAAAAGATCTCAAATTAAATTGCCAGAATTTAACCTAATGGATTTTGATTATCAGTCTTATTATGATTCATTTTACTACTGCATTTGAAAATGATACTAAACAGAAAGGTTATAAGTACTGTATATTCTAAAAGAAGAAAATGCACTTGACTTTCAGGAATGGACCTAAGACTGCAGCTTCTGACATAAGTCTCTAAAGAGGCCTCAGAGTCATGACAATTTATCAGTTTTCTTTCTTGAGGTTTATTTCCTTGAGGACTTCTGCTTTATTGCTAGTGAAACAGCAGATAGTAATTTCCTGGTAAGTTTAATTTTTGAGATTGGATTATTTTATATTTTTCCTTTTTTCCAGAACTCATCTAGACACCTCAGCTGAGTTGCGGTATTCAGTGGGATCTCTAGTGGACAGCCAGTCTGATTACAGAACAACTAAAGTAATAAGAAGACCAAGGAGAGGCCGCATGGGTGTGCGAAGAGATGAGCCAAAGGTTAATCTTTTAACTTCAACTCCTCTCTAGTTTTATTTAAATAGATCACTTCATTTTGGATAGAATTTTAACACTGAGATAATTAGAAAATGCTAGCATTTTTATTAATTTGAAACACAGAGTGTGACTTTAAAAAAATATATCTATATAAGTAACATAAAGCCCCAACTATGGGCCCAAAATTGAATAAGCATTTCCCATGTATTTATTCATATAACATTATGAAGTTGGTACTACTTGTATACTAACTTCAGACATAAAAATACTGAGGCTCAGAAAAGTTAAATGTTAAATATTGCACTGGTAGCAAAGTGATGGAGTCAAAACGTGGGCCTATATTTGTGTGGTTTCCAATACTATTAGTAGTGTAATATTAACTATTATACTACCTTGCCAAACATGTAGTCTTTTGATTTTCTTGGGCACTTGAGCAATGGCATTCATGTTGTTCATTCAAATTAATTTAATTAAAATTAGTACTTTAAAAACACTTTGAAGAAAATGTACATAGACTATTCCTGTGTTCACAAAGAACTATTAATGATAAGGGACAGTGCTAGCCTTCTATTCAGTCAATAACTTAATTTAAAATTTGCAAGCTATGTTTGTTGAGTAATGTAGTTGTATTTTATAGAGAAGTAAAATAGTCCTTTGGTGCCTAAGTATAGTTCATTCTTTCAACCACCTTTATGTATGCCAAATACTATATAATCCATTTGTCCTTATATTTTTTTTGGGGGGGGGGCCATATAAGATATACTTTTTTTTAATTTTTAAATTTTTTTTAATATACTTTATGTTCTAGGGTACATGTGCACAACATGCAGGTTTGTTACATATGTATACAGGTGCCATGTTGGTGTGCTGCACCCATTAACTCATCATTTACATTAGGTATATCTCCTAATGCTATCCCTCCCCACTCCCCCCACCTCACAACAGGCCCCAGTCTGTGATGTTCCCCTTCCTGTGTCCAAGTGTTCTCATTGTTCAGTTCCCACCTATGAGTGAGAACATGCAGTGTTTGGTTTTCTGTTCTTGTGATAGTTTGCTGAGAATGATGGTTTCCAGCTGCACCCATGTCCCTACAAAGGACATGAACTCATCCTTTTTTATGGCTGCATAGTATTCCATGGTGTATATGTGCCACATTTTCTTAATCCAGTCTGTCATTGATGGACATTTGGGTTGGTTCCAAGTCTTTACTATTGTGAATAGTGCCACAATAAACATATGTATGTATATGTCTTGATAGCAGCATGATTTATAATCCTTTGGGTATATACCCAGTAATAGGATGGCTGGTTCAAATGGTATTTCTAGTTCTAGATCCTTGAGGAATCACCACACTGTCTTCCACAATGGTTGAACTATTTACACTCCCACCAACAGTATAAAAGTGTTCCTATTTCTCCACATCCTCTCCAGCACCTGTTGTTTCCTGACTTTTTAATAATCATCATTCTAACTAGTGTGAGATGGTATCTCATTGTGGTTTTGATTTGCATTTCTCTGAGGGCCAGTGATGATGAGCATTTTTTCATGTGTCTGTTGGCTGTATGCATGTCTTCTTTTCAGAAGTGTTTGTTCATATCCTTTGCCCACTTTCTGATGGGGTTGTTTGTTTTTTTCTTGTAAATTTGTTTGAGTTATTTGTAGGTTCTGGATATTAGCCCTTTGTCAGACGAGTAGACTGCAAAAATTTTCTCCCATTCTGTAGGTTGCCTGTTCACTCTGATGGTAGTTTCTTTTGCTGTGCAGAAGCTCTTTAGTTTAATTAGATCCCATTTGTCAATTTTGGCTTTTGTTGCCATTGCTTTTGGTGTTTTAGACATGAAGTCCTTGCCCATGCCTATGTCCTGAATGCTATTGCCTAAATTTTCTTCTAGGGTTTTTATGGTTTTAGGTCTAACATTTAAGTCTCTAATCCATCTTGAATTAATTTTTGTATAAGGTGTAAGGAAGGTACTGGTACCAAAACAGAGATATAGACCAATGGAACAGAACAGAACAGAGCCCTCAGAATAATACTACACATCTACAACCATCTGATCTTTGACAAACCTCAGAAAAACAAGAAATAGGGAAAGGAATTGCTATTTAATAAATGGTGCTGGGAAAACTGGCTAGCCATAAGTAGAAAGCTGAAACTGGATCCATTTGTCCATATTTGTACACAGGCCCTTGATGCCTTTTGGTTTTAAACTGGCACCAGTATGTCATGTATTAATTAATCCATCAAAGTAGGCATTCAATATCTATTGAATACATGAATAAATAAATGAGCAAATGAAAGCTACATTAAGTTAATCTCAATTATTTTCTCATTATTATGTGACAAATTAATTAAGTGCTACTTGATATCAACAAAAGTTGTAACACAAATACTAATTCTGATTCTCAATTCTTAACTCAATGCTCAGGGAAGTATCATGTGGCCTTCCATAGAAATCATTTTATATGATCACAAAAATAAAAACCAATTTTTTAAAAAGCAGAATAAAAGAGATCTAGGACCTCTCTTTTATGCCCAACCTCCTCATTCATTCAGATAACAGCTTGAAAAACACTGGTCAATTGCTTACTTCAAATGGAAGGCTTCTTATATCCATTTAAAAAGCATAACCATGTAAATTAGCATGCCTTGGGCTTAAAATTACAGATATACCTTGTTTTACTGTGATTTGCTTTATTGTATTTCACAAGCATTATGTTTGTTAGTTTGTCTGTGTTTTACAAATTGAAGGTTCCTGACAACTCTGCCTCACGCAAGTCTATGGGTGCTATTTTTTCAATGCATATGCTCACTTGGTATCTCTGTCTCACATTTTGGCAATTTTCACAATATTTCTTTCTTTTTTTTTTTTTTTTTTTTGAGGCAGAATATTATTCTGTCACCCAGGCTGGAGTGCAGTGGCACTATCATGGCTCACTGCAGCCTTGAATTCCTGAGTTTAAGCAATCCTACCATCTCAGTCTCCCAAGTAGCTGGGACCACAAGCAGGTACCACTATGCCCAGCTAATTTTTATATTTTTTTGTAGTGATGGGGTTTCACCATCTTGCCCAGGTTGGTCTCAAACTCCTGTGCTCAAGTGATCCTCCCACCTCGGCCTCCCAAAGTGCTGGGATTATAAGCGTGAGCCACATCAGTTCTCGCAATGTTTCAAACGTTTATTATTATTATTATATCTGTTGTGGTGATCTGTGAACAGTGATATTTGATGTTACTATTGTAATAATTTGAGCATGCCACAAACCATGCCAATATAAGACAGTGAATTTAATCTATAAATGTTGTGTGTACTCCTGCTCCAACAGCCATTTCCCATTGCTTTCCCTTTCTTTGGGCCTTTGTATTATCCAAAACACAACAATATTGAAAGTAGGTCAATTAATAACCCTACAATAGCCTTAAGTGTTCAAGTGAAAGGAAGAGTTGCACATCTCTAAGTCAAAACTAGAAACAATTAAACTTAGTGAGGAAGACATGTCAAAAGCTGAGTTAGGCCAAAAGCTAGGCTTCTGGCATGAAACAACCAAGTTGTGATTATAAAGGAAAAGTTCTTCAAGGAAAATACAAGTGTTACTCCAGTGAACACACAAATAAGAAAACAAAACAGCCTTACCGCTGATATGGAGAAAGTTTTAGTAGTCTACATAAATGTGATCATTTAGTGATAAACAATCAAAGCATGCACAACATTCCCTTAAACCGAAGCATAATCCGGGGCAAGACCCTAACTCTCTACAATTACATAAAGACTGAGAGGTGAGGAAGAGGCAGAAGAAAACTTTGAAGCTAGCAGAGGGTAGGTCAGTTCATAAAGTTTAAGGAAGGAAGTCATCTTCACAACATAAAAGTGCAAGGTGAAGCAGCAAGTGCTGATGGAGAAGCTGTTACAAGTTATTCAGAAGATCTAGCTAAGATAATTGATGAGAATGACTACACTAAACAATGGGTTTTCAATGTAGATGAAATCACCTTCCATTGGAAGAAGATGCCAACTAGGACTTTCATAGCTAGAGAAGAAAAGTAAATGCCTGACTTCAAAGCTTCAGAGGACAGGGGTGAATGAATGCAACTGGTGACTTTTAAGTTGAAGCCAATGCTCATTCACCATACTGAAAATCCTAGGGCCCTCAAGAATTATGCTAAATCTACTCTACCTGTGCTCCATGAGAAGAGCAACAAAACCTAGATGACAGCGCATTTGTTTACAGCATGGTTCACTGAATATTTTAAACACACATTTGAGACTTATTGCTCAGAAAATATATATATATATATTCCTTTCAAAATATTACTACTTATTAACAATGCACCTGGCCACCAAGACCTCTGACAGAGATACTCAAAGAGATTAATGTTGTTTTCGTGCCTGCTAACACAACATTCATTCTGTAGCCCATGGATGAAGGAGTAATTTTGCCTTTCAAGTATTATAACTTAAGAAATACATTTCACAGGGCTATAGCTGCCATAGGTAGTGACTCCTCTGATGGATTGGGGCAAAGCCAATTGAAAACATTCTGGAAATGATTCATCATTCTAGATGCCATTAAGAACATTTATGACTCATGGGAGAGGGTCAAAACATCAACCTTGACCAGGCGCGATGGCTCACACCTGTAATCCCAGCACTTTGAGAGGCCGAGGCAGGTGGCTCACCTGAGGTCGGGAATTAGAGACCAGCCTGGCCAACATGGTGAAATCTCATCTCTACTAAAAGTACAAAAATTAGCTAGGTGCACCTCTGCAATCCCTACTACTCTGGAGGCTGAGGCACAAGAATAACTTGAACTCAGGAGGCAGAGGTTGCAGTGAGCCAAGATCAAGCCCTCCAGCATGTGCAACAGAGCAAGACTCCCTCGCAAAAAAAAAAAAAAAAAAAAAAAAAATAAGACTTGATAATGAACTGTGCATGTGTTTGTGTGTGTGGTGATTAAACATAAGAGATGGCTCAAGACTTCTGTGGAGAAAGTAACTGCAGATGTGGTGAAAATAACAAGAGAACTAAAATTAGAAGCAGAGCCTGAAAATGCAACTAAATTGCTGCAATCTCATGATAAAACTTGAACAGATGAGGATTTACTTTTCATGAATGAACAGAACATGATTTCTTGACGTGGAATCTACTCCTGGTGAACATTGTTAAAATGACAACAAAGGATACAAAATATTACATTACATAATTGATAAGGCAGTTGCAGGGTGTGAGAGGATTAACTCTAATTTTGAAAGAAGTTGTACTGTGGGTTAAATGCCATCAAACTGCATTCCATGCTACAGAGAAATCGTTAATGAAAGGAAGAGTCAATCAATGTGGCAAACTTCATTGTTGTCTTATTTTTAAAAATTGTCACAGCCACCCAACTTTCACCAACCACTACCCTTATCAGTCAGCAGCCATCAGCATCAAGCAATACCCTTCACCAGCAAAAACATTAAGGCTCAGATGATCATTAGCATTTTTTAGCTATAAAGTATTTTTAATGAAGGTATGTTCATTTTTAGACATAGTACTATTATACACTTAATAGACTTAAGTAGAGAATTAGCATAACTTTTATGTTCATTGGGAAATCAATAAATTTGTGTGACTCTATTGTTAGAACTAACCCTGAAATATCTGTGGAGTATACCTGTACATAATTTTGCAATATTTTAAATAATATTTTGTTACAATCGATATAAATAAATGTTGGGGAGAGAATTCTTGTATAATTTCTTATGTGATAATATTTGTGGTCTGAGCTTATAATAAGGAAATATAGGAAGACTTATTATTTTAAGTCTTGAATGCTTAAGTACAAATAAATAAAGATTGCTATATTTGGAAATAAGGAACAGTATTGCAAATACATGCTTTAAAGTAATTGTTACCTTGGAATATGATCAAACTATAAATCATATAGAAGTTTATCATCTTTATTTCTATTAAAATCTTGATATTTATGCTGACAATTAATCCCTCACATTACTTACGATGTCAAGGAACTATTTTATGAAAGCAAATAAATTAAAATGTTAATAATTGGTTCAGTTTTTGCAAGGTCAGTTGTAAAAGCATGCCTGTTGTTGTTGTTGCTGTCTTTGAGATTAGCACTTTGAACATGAGCAATGTGATAAATATTCTGCATTTTTCATTTACCATTCAGGTGAAATCTCTTGGGGATCATGAGTGGAACAGAACTCAACAGATTGGAGTACTAAGCAGCCACCCTTTTGAAAGTGACACTGAAATGTCTGATATTGATGATGATGACAGAGAAACAATTTTTAGCTCAATGGATCTTCTCTCTCCAAGTGGTCATTCCGATGCCCAGACTCTAGCCATGATGCTTCAGGAGCAACTAGATGCCATCAACAAAGAAATCAGGTAACTTCAATTAGTACTGATGGTTTCAAGAAATTAGAAGACCTGGATACTGTGCTAAAAATATAAATACTAGATCAGAAGCATTAGCATTAACTGGGAGCTTAATAGGTCTGCAGAATCTCTGACCTAACCCCATATGCACTGAATCAGAATGTGTATTTTCAGAAGATTCCCAGGATATCTGTGTATCTCCTTTATAATATTAGGACAGCCTTTGTAAGGAACATACATGAAACATATAAGACTAATGACATTAGTGACAATATAAAAGAATAAGTTAAAGGCAAAACTTTCTCCAGTGAATTTTAAAGCACTTTTTAAATTAAAATTTACTACTTAAAGGAAAGTATTTGTGGTAATCACGTACATTCTTCAGATACATTACATACTGCAGTAAAGATACCAAATAGTATGCAAGTTAATATGCATTCAAATCCCTTAAAATATTTAAACATTGGAGTGAAATTAATTTATCATTCTTTTTGTCAATTTTATGCCATTTATATCAGGGACAGCCTGTTTCTTGGCAGTTTATTAATGTTAACAGTTTTAGAGGCTGGAAAGTCCAAGATGAAGGTTTCAGCAGGGTTCGGTTTTTGGTAAAGGCTCTCTTCCTGGCTCCAGGGAAAGGGAAAGT